CATGATATGAATTTTAATGAAAATGATTATATTCTATTGACATAATTGTGTTTGGGATTTGAAATTTACAAAAAAAAAGAGATCCCTAAAAATTTATGAGTTCTTTTAAAAAGTCTAGGATACCCTAAATTTACTGATACTAAAGATGCTTGACTCCATATTGAAATTAATCCAATTGCTAATTGTATAAATACTATACAATAAAGTGTCAATCCTAAACTAGATAAATTATTAATGGGTTATTAGTATGTGTATATATATATATCACAATATATATTAATTAATAAATCAATAGATTAAGATTTACAATGAATGGGGAGTTCTTGAATTAGACATTGCTAATACTGAAGCACCAAAACTTCCTATACTTATTCCACCAAGAAGCTGTATAGTTCGATGAATCTTGAGATAGTTATTTGTATGTTTAAAAAATCTAACTATAAAAATTGATATTGGAAATAACACACTATTTTATGTAATGAAAAAGTAAGTATATTGTGCAAGAATAGATCAAGTAATGATTAATTAAAAGATTACCTCCAGGTAAATGACATTCCAATTCCATGTATATATTTTGTTGTCTGTTGACTTGCCTTTATTTTTACTGCTTCTATTTTATTATTATAAAAATCAATCATTATCAATATTCGATTATTTCCATGATAAGTAAAAGATGAACTATTTATAATAACAAAATATCATTATTAAAAATATCATTATTAGTGTAATTATTCATTTTATTATATTTTTACCTTCCAGGATTGTAAGCCATAATATCTAAAAACAAAATAGTAAGTGATTAAATATAAATAATAATATTATTATAACACCAAAGATACAAACACCTAAAAGGATATTTTTTCTTACATTTAACAAGCCCATCCTTAATTCCGCGTCTTCCATCAGGTAATAATGGTCTTGAGAATTCAATAGTTGCTAAACTATCACTTACATTTGAATTAATATTTGTTAAATCTGAATTATCATCACGATTAGGTGGGTAATGATCAGCTGATGATGATCGATAATTGAATATGTCAATTTTATTTTCCCGTACCTATAAAAATCAATTTATTTATTTATTCATTAAAATTTAATTTTAATAAAAAATTTTTTTTTGTAATCTTACAAAGCCAATAACAAAATCTGCTCCCTTCATTCCAATGTCATCAGGCTCAAACCCCTAAAAAAAAAACATTTTTTTAAACAAAATTTAGTTGATTAAATCCCTCAAATTTTCATTATTACTATAACAACAACAACAACAACAGCAACGACAATAATAATCACCATTCCAAACCATCCTTCACCATCATCAGTTTGTAAAGTTATTTTGAAATGAATAAAAGAATCATCAATTCTATATTTAATAACATATGGTGACCATGCAGGAATATCATTTGGATAATTTACATCAACAGCTGATGAAGAATTGGTGGTTTTTGATTGGGGTTGAACCGTCCAAATATTTTGTGGCATGATTGGTTTGTTATTTTCTGGCAGATTACGTAAAATAATATCTTTGAATGTTGTGCTTTTAAGGGTGACT